GCCAAAAGCATCCTTCTGCTTAATGCAATACTTCAATAAGCTGGGCACAGACATCACTGAAGGACAGAATAGGCTCGTGGGATTAACTCCCACTGTTTTATATCGGGTTCTGTTCTCAGGATAGAGGCTGCATGACAATAAATACGTCAGCGCTGCTCAGGCAAATGTAAATGTCAGAATATTCATACAGCATGCTAAAATAAATAGCCAGACCCTAAGGACACTAAGGCCATTTATGCAAGTTCTTAAAAAATTTAACTCCAGTTAATGTTGACCTACATTAAGTCCATGTCCTTTTTGCTGTTCTAGCAGTGCACCTTCCCCGATTCTCCATAATATTTATTATAACCAGTATGATAGACTTTGACTACATATACTTTAAAGCAGGAATTGTTTCTTCTTTGTATGTTTTAACAGCTACAAATGGAGTCTCATTACTGATTACGGCTCCTGGAAAACTACTGGGAAGCTTGTATTTTAAGTTTTGTCGCATTTATTTGCCAACAAAACCAGTTACATTTCCAAGACAAGAACTGTTTCTGTGGCTTGAAAATGGCAGGTTCTGTAACCAAGTTATCTTCAACACTGAGTTTCGAGCTAGTATCTAAGAATTACTGTTTTATTCCTCCTGGCCTTCATTTTTCAGTTAGAGTTTCACTTTTGAAGTATAATTAATATATGTTAACCGCTTTAAAGTGGATGAAATCAAATGTGCATTTAGCAGCTTTATGCAGTTCTGTGTCATAAGAACTCTGTGCCTTTAACAAAAAAACCCGCTGATTTTACTGCAGTTCAGTGTATCAAAGTGCTTGCACTGAATGTAAAATATTCAGTGTATACATACACATATGTATATTTATATTATACACATTTATACAAATATGTACAATCAACACCTGAATTTTTTTTATTGCAACATCAAAAAATGAAGTTACTATTATCTAAAGACAATTCAGGTGTTATATATTTATGTCTGCTGTCAAACATGTACATTCAGAACTGGCAAAATTTTAATACAAGGTTCACACTATATTATCCACAGCAGCTCAGGTTATTTATTCCTTTTACCCAAAGTCAAATCAGAAATGGTCTCAGTGGTGCCTTTCCCTTCACTAGAAGGCATTTTGTATTACTCACTGGCAGGTTTAGGTAAAGAGATGACTAACACCTTGTCCAAAAGCATGTTAAGTACTGAAGGCTGCTATTTGCTATAAATTTACGTCAAAGACTTTAAGAGATGAAATCAGGATACAACAGGATTTAATTGGTTTGAAGCAGGTCCAGGAATTTCAACTACTAGGTTGCACATAACAGTCCATGGTGTACACATTCCTGAAGAAAAAGATGCATCTGTAGCTTGTGTACAGAACTGATACCTCAACCCATCCCCCACCCATGAAAGAAATACTATGTTTTCAAACCTAAATTCTCAAAGCTTAGGCAACAGCATAGTCAATTACTGCCCGTGCAACTTTCCATGCAACTTTCCTTTAATGCACTTCCACAAGGACAGTACATGAGCACGTTTGCTCTTGCATGAAAGTGCTTTTCTTCACCATATCATCATTCTCAACAGACTACACAGGCTCAGGGCAGCAACTTCTGGGTATTTTTATTTTTGGCGGGGGGTGCTAGTGGGCAGGTCACGCCTTAACTGGCAAAAATGCTTGGGTTTCACAGTTTCTGTCACCACTGACAGCACTTACAGGTAGGTGCCAGAGAAGCCATAAGCAAACAGGAGCTACACACACATATTTGGGTTTAAATCACTTGCTTAGCATCATATAGGATTAAGCAGAGTCAGTTCTTGTTTCTATTTTCCTTTGGCCGAGTGTGTAATTCGCTATCTTCCTTTCACATTTAACAAAAAAAAGCCTTCAGGCACTAAGCAGCATCGGTTGAATCCCTGAGCACTCTATCACATGCATGAATCAAATAGGATTTCTGTATGGAAAAAGTGACCTAAATTATCAAACTGCATATGCAAAAGGAGCTCAAATTTAGTTTAGGTAAACTTGCTTCAGGTATGCCTTAATTCCTGATTATTTTGACCGTAACCATAGAAAAAACAAGATATTATGCACATGGAAAGTTTACATGGGCTCAGAAAACAACAGGAATACTTCATAGAAGGAAAATCCATGAGGGCCTGTTAAATAAAACACCATCACCCCTGGCTTTGGATCTTACTGAGCTGTGAATCATTAAAAGCTGGAAGAAGTATTTTGGGAAGGGATCACTATGCTTCTGTGTTGGTTTTCTACTCTTCTCAAGCCATCTGCTATTGACCAGCACTGGTGACAGGACAGCAGCTACTTTATCTTTGGTCTGACCCAGTACCACGTTCTCTCTCTCAAAATGGTATCAAGCAGAGTGGCAATGCTGGTAATATCTTGCCTTTTGGTAAGGGGTTTACAACCACCCCAACAATAAATGTGATTCAAAATGTCATACATAATCCTAATGATTTATAACATAAGAAATTCTGAAGGCTGACATTACCCTCCCAATGTAAAAATGTGGGGGAACTTTTTAATCAAAATCAAAAGATTCCTGAGTGTTATTTATCTCATTCACCTCCTTTATTTACTTTCTAACTACAAATAAACCTCACATTTTTATTACAGTAAAAACGTAAAAGCAGCCATTAGGATCTCGATATGCTCAAATGCTACATACATTCATAGAAGGCATCATCTTTGCCTCAAAAATACTTATTGCAGGCCAAGATAAAGTAGATTAACAGCAAAACAGAGCACTCAATAACCTGAATTACTTGAGAGGCAGTTTGGAAAAGGTCATCTGAGTTCCACAACGATTTTGAGAAAAAAAAGTGAATAAGCAAATAAGCGCCACTGATGGCTGAGAGTCCTCCTTTAAATGCCCCAGTATAACCAACACCCATCACTCAGAAACTGAATCCCCTACCAGCTTAATTCCATCGAATGGGTTTAGCACTTCATCTTGTCAGTGTATTCAAACAGCCTCCAGCATACAGTAACTCATTCTTCTGACTGAATCCAAAATACAAACAACTAAACACGTGGCCATCTTACACAATATTCACAGAACAAGGAGGAGACACCAAGAATTAAAGAGCAGACAATTCAATCATTCAAATGCAACCCCAAAACAAAACAGAAGAAAAAACCCCAAAGCCAAGCAAAACCAAGTGTGCACGCCTACAACCAGAGAACATCAGAGAAATGCAAGGTAAATATAAAAATTCTGACTCAGTTTAGCGCTTCAACCCTCAAGATCTGCTTTACATGCGACATGTCACACCAGCAAGCCTCAGTTTTCAAGTGGCATAAAATACTAATCTCTAGAAAGTAGCCCTTCATAACCTTAAAGCCGCACCACAGTTAACATATAATCAGAGTGAACAGGTTTTAACAAATAACTAAGAAAAACCTGCAAGTTACAAAACACACCTTGGATTCAGTACAAGTCTACAGATTATAACATTTCTAACACACGTCTTCTGACATGCTTAAGCCAGCACAATAAAACGTATCTCAATGTTACAACCAACTCCCTCCTACAAAAAAGCAAAACCCAAACCATACTCCTAGCCAGACACAAAGTACAAATTTTTGACATTTGATGCTGAAATGTAATTCAAATAAAAGTTCAAATATTAGAAAAAACAAGCAACTCCATGTTAAAGTATCCAAAAAATTACTTTCAAGAAGACATTTTGAAAAAACACTACTTATGTCTTATGTTTAGGAATTGCTTTTTAAGAAAGGCAGAGGCATGAGACTTTTTCCAGTCCATCTACTACCTCTGCCATTACCGCTTACAAGTGCCGGCCCAGACCCAGCACTATTTAATCTGTGTGCATCAGAGGTAATCCTTCTACTAACACGACTGAGATTTGTCTATATATTTTGTATTAGCTGTGTCTAGTTTCCCAGGTTCACAGGCTTTTGCTAACATGGGCACTTATTTGCACTAGTACATTAATGACACTTTTGAAACATCTCTTTCTTTACTAAAAGCTGAAAAGGGGATTTTTATTAAACAGTACTTGACACTGTAAGAGTCTCATGCTGTCATGTAGCTTTCTGGGAATTTCAGTAATGTAAACCCAAAGGATTTAGCAGAAGAGAAGGGAGCAAGCTGGGAGCACACAGCCTCAAGAGAGCTCGGCTCAAGCTGCTGGGGAATTGCACTTGCACACACCTATGTTAGAGTAAGACTTTCTGGCACGGTCTCCCTCAGTGGCTGTAAAGGAAGCCTGCACAGACTAGCTCAGATCTGAAATAAAATCTTTAGGTTGCTAAGGCTACCTGATATCCTATCTGACATAAGCATGCTGCCCATTTCGCAGAAAAATACTAATCAAATGGCTATACTTTTATTTACTGCTCTGAACTGTGTAAAAACCCCACTTCTACTACAGCAACTGCAGTCTGAGAAGAACCCTTAGAAATTTTAACTGTACTTAACTTTAGACTGACTAACATGTAACTGGTAGGTAATACCAGTGGAGTAACCATCCTTTACCCTTTCCAAAGAATTTATAAATCTTTCACAAGAAAGATACTTTAATTAGAAAAACTGAATAAGGTACAATACTAGAACACTATTTTTCTGACTGCTTAGTCTAGGCAATTAAAATAAAATAACAAAAGATTTGGCAATTTGCTACACACTTCCCAATCAAGAGGAAAGAACTCAAACTAAAAGATACAGATAACAAACCTACAAAAGAGTTGAGAAATAAAAAAAATCTAAAATAACATTCAAAGAACATGACATTTCTAAAGCTCTCCCTCATCATTTAAATAAAAAATATTAATAATTTAAGCTTTTGGTTGCAGCAGACAATCAGTTTATGAAGTAATTTTCCAATTTTATGATATTCTACCCTAGAAATGTAACAAAAAGGACTCCTTTTTACTTTTAATCTACCAATTTCTTGAAAAGTAAAACTGAAAAGCTGCAGTCATAAGTAATTTCTTAAGTGTTTCAAAGAAAGTGTTCACACTCACCAGTGCTGCTGCTTTCAGATTTTTCTTCTGCTTGGCTTTCTGGAAAAAAAACAAATGAACAAAAAAGGAAACATAATGTTTCTGTGTTGATTATTTGAAATTACATCTAAGAAGTGGGTTGTAAAGCAAAGGATGATAAATTATGATAAAAATCACAACCACTGGGTTTGATTAATGTTTATATATTTACTTTCTGAAGAACAATTTGCCACAGGGAGCAACAAAAAAATATCTCCTTTAGTGCCTAAACTCACAACTTAAATGAGAGAACTCCATTACACCTCTGATTGAGCTCTGCAGGAATGAAGGTACACATTAATGCAAAATCAGTAGTAGGATTATACTTAGGCAACGCATAGTATCCATTTATTTCACTGGTCACTCTAGAAAAATGAATATTATTTTTGTATATTTAAAAAAAAAATGTTCTGCAAAAGAACGCTCTTAATTGGCATGAGGTGAATTTTTGAATTTGGTCATCTTCTCTACCCTTTCTGCAGATCATGCAAGGATTTCTTTAATCTTTTCCTTTTCTGATCATTTGCCCTCAAACAGTACTATAGCCCAACTACTTAGGTACAAAAAATACACACAATCAGAGACATCTCCTATTCCACAGAGCAGAGAATCAAAGTATGCATGAAGGAAAAACCTAGACACAAGTGTTGCAAAGTAACTTGCCAAGAAATTATCACACGGGTGAGTGGCAGAGTCAGATTCAGAAACAGCTTTCTGCATGAAATTCCGATCCCACATTTCAAGACATGGCAGCCGGCGGATGTATTTTGGTAAGTGTTAGAACTCAGTTTACCAAGTCCTACGAAATTAAACCCCTACATAAATTTGTCAACCTGAAATTTGACTGCTCCTCCTGTATTTCTCTTTTTATGCATCTTCTAAGGTAGAGAATAAAAAGAACATTCTCACTTATCTGAAACACAGTTAAAAATGGTAAAAATATACTTGTCCTTAGCTTTCAACTCAGACATGTCACAGCTATCATTACAGACTATTTACTTACAGGCGAGAGTGAATTACTGCTCTAACTCAGAGATTAATTTTTGAGTTCAGTTACTTTGATCATTTCTGCTACTTACAGGCTGGGTATTACCAGAACTGAAAACATGAAATATTTTACAAAACCTTTTTTCTTGCCACTGATTCTTGCTGGCTTTCACGGCTGATGGCCCTGCTTATTCACTGAGATGGCTGACAGCCTGAGGACTAATGCAAATGGAAAAAGCAGTATCTCATGATCCTTCTTTCTTTACCAGTGGCTGTCCTCAGTCTTAGGAGCTGAAGGCATGTGCTTTCTCACTGAGAAAATATCATTATATGGCCTCTTCCCACCCATGAGCACTCACAAAGCAAGTTAAGATCCCTACTAACTTTCAGACATGCATGCAAGATAACCTGCTTGCAGAAACACCATGTATTTTCTCATTGACTTTTTTTTGTGTGTGTATTTAGCACATTTACGGCATAATGTTATTACCCAACCAATACCCTAACTCAGCTGCAACTTAATTAAGGAAACATTCAGTACACACCCAAGAAGCAAAGAGGACGTAATGCAGAATGTGCAAACATATTAAGGTATCAAACCCTGCCTGGACTGGGATGTAAGAAACAGCTGGATTTAAAGCTGTGTCTTTTTAACTCTGTTTCAATTAAAAGACTAGTTACCTAGCCAAAACGACTGCGCAGACACCACACTTAAAAATTGTTAATGGCATCTCTGATTCAAATAACAAGAAATGTGCATCATGTCTACAGGGGCACGGTGTGTGTTTGCTTGTATGTAGCAGCAGAATCTGCCCTCAACAGCACAGACAAAAAACCAGGCAAAATTCAAGCCTTGCAAAAAAGTGGGTTGTTTTTTCTTACCGCTAAGACAATTTGGGTTTGTTATGATTAGGTCACAAGTCTCTGCTTCAAAACTCTTCTCAGTACTAATATCATGAAGAAGGTAAAGGAAGTTGTACTATGTCTAATCCATATATTTAATCAATGCAGACAATGGCTGTTGAGCCTCCTCCGCAACACGCAAGATTCACCAATAAACGTCAACAGGTTGGGATTGCTTGCTTGGGGGGTTTTTGTTGTGGTTTTGTTGTGGTTTTGGGGGAGGGGAGGCTGGGGTGGGGTTTTTTGTATTTTGGTTTTTTGGGGGTTTTTTTGGGTTTTTTGTGGTTTTTTTACACATACATCAGTGAGATGGAAAAAACTAAATAAATTTAAAGTCACTGAAGTAGGCAGAAAGCCAATTTTATTCCCACCACACTGAGCCCACTCTAACATCCCATATATTTTGTGCATTGTATACTCAATTGTTTAAATTAACACAGGAATTAACAGTCTAGTTTTAACAACAAAACTGAAAAGAAAATTAGGCGCTTACCCCTGACAGCCAGCTGAACCCACTTTACAGTAATCTGTTAATCCTCACAACACTCATATGAAGTAAGTAAATAAATATCATTTCCATTTTTTAGAGATGGAGAAGAGACATGATGTAAGCAGTCACAGTTGTTTTCTAAATGGACCGTATGTCACAATACGAAATCTTGACCCATCAAAATGCTGTCTGTAATTAGACTAGCTTGAAACACATATTCTGCTTTTCTGATCATGGGTTGCACCTTCTTTATGATCCTCACAAATATTTGGACATTTGTATAAGTGCCAGAGATCTGAAAGACTGCTGTTCCTTCCATTTCTTTTGATTGCGAGGCTGCTGATAGGTTTTCCTCCTCTGCTAACAGTAGCCCATAAAAGATTGAAGTACATAAAGGAATAAAGAAGCATTAAGACAGACCCCAAAGCATTCTGGAGACTGGAATGTGTGGTTAAGTGACAGCCTGAACAAATGGAGACAATTGGAAAGTACTGTTAAAGTAGACAGGTATATGTCAAAACTCCTCAGCAGGCAGAGCTAAGATGGCAGAACGATGAGGGAGGGCGTTTATTTCCTAAATAAGAGTTCGCTGGAAAATTTGAGAAGTCAAACATTCATCTAATAAGATTAGAAGTAGCATCACAAGGCATCAAGATTCTAAGCACTATGTATTTTAATGGAAATAATTAAATGTAATTATAGGAGTAGCTCCTTTAATGAAAGAAAGAAACATCTTTCCAGGATTTTTACTAGTGTTTCTTCACTAATTTCTTTAAATGGCTGGATATATCTGATATTTCAAAATACAAATACACAAAATACAGAACACAAACCTCTGAATATTCATTTTCACCAGAATACAATCACACATTGTAAGTTATATAGTAGGCGTGATTCATGTACAAACTCAGAAAAGGCCCTTTCATATATGAGAAGCTGTATTAAGGAGAAAAAAAACCAACACCCAAAACAAGGGAAGAATATTCAAGGAGTGTGGGAATAAAATAAAGGAGCTGTTCTAAGGTATATGGGCAGAGTTATGTGTATTGTTGAACAAGAATACAAACCCCCTTGAATTTCTTGAGCTGAGATTCTGAAAGAAGACTCAGAAAAACAGGGAACGCAACGTTAAGAGCCAGCAGTCTTCTGTGAAGCATGAAACAGTGAAACAATCCATACATGAATGCTGCTCAGAAACAACGGCCTGGTAGTCATTCTGTCAATGGAATTCTCTAAACGCTTTTTACTTTCAGGAAGATGGAACGAGCATGAAGGAATTTAAGTCACTAAAATAGGCATTGAGGCAATCCCACTTATGAAGGGGGAGTTGTGAAGATATATTCAAAATTTCAATAAAATGAGTCATCTCACCCAACTTTACAGAAATATCTTATACTTTATTTGTTCCTACGGTATAAAATCCTCCTCTCTACCCGTCAGTCCTTTACAGCTAGGGATGCAATTGCCTGCCAAGGTCTGTGTTTTCCCAAGTCACATTAGTATCACATTTTTCCAAGAACTAGCTCAGTGAGAAACTTGTATCGTTATCTATAACATAGCTGCATTTTTTATTTATATTTAGAGCCAGCAATCCTAAACTAGCTGGTGCCAGAAATATTAAGCAACAGGCAATTAAAGCAGAAAGGGAATTAATTTATAATCACAACCAGAAAAGTTTGCTATTAAACGTTTAGCAAAACTATGTTCCCATTCCTTCAACCAAGAAAGAAACTGTCAAATTATAGCACTTCCTTATGCCAGGGTGTCTGCCAGTAGGAAACTCAGAAAAAAACAATTTTAACCAAACACACCCTATATCGAGCCCATGACTTGCCCCTGGATAGTTCTTAGCTATGCACACATAAGAAAAATTCACTTTCTTGAATACAACCCATTGAAATATATGCAAAATGCTCTCCTTTCCTCCCGCCCAAAAAATTACAGCTATGATAGCTGATGACAGAGATAAGATAAAATGACTGGAAGCACAAATAGCATTGTTGCATAGCAACTGTTGATGTACATATGGTGATGTTTATGGAACAGAATGTAGTTCGTATTTAATGCAGAAATAATACTGAAACCAGCCTAGACAGCAAGACCTAGACAGCAAGAGATAACTGTGCTTTGGATCCCTCTGCAGTTATCACAGAAGCCATACTTCCCACCAGCTTTGCTAAGCCGATGCTCAGGAACATCACCGCAGGTCTTAGTGATTTGCCCAGCAATGAAGATAATGTAATGTCTCACATGTGCAAACAGCCTTCCTAAGGAAGTAGGGAGGTATTGTGCAACTAGTACTTTCGGAGTGTATTGTACTACTTTGTATTATTTATTAGAGCTGTTTCAAAATACAGAAATAGGAAAAGAAAAGAAACAGGAGAAACCCCAGAGTTAGTCTAAGCAGAAAGTACACCACGTGTGAAAGCCAGCATAGACATAGATTTCTAACAGTATCTGGGATGGGATCCATTTTATCCAGGTATATATTAGAACAGAGTTTAATTTGCGTTGGAATTTATGTTTTAGCTGGATCAAGTACATAGAATAGGATAGAATATTTCAGTTGTAAGGGACCTACAATAATCATCTAGTCCAACTGCCTGAGCATTTCACGGCTGACCAAAAGTTAACGCGTGGTGTTAAGGTCATTGTCCAGATGCCTCTTAAACACTGACAGTCTTGGGGCATCGATCACCACTCTGAGAGACCTGTGCCAGAGTTTGACCTCCCTCTAGGTAAATAAATGCTTCCTCATGTCCAGTCAAAACCTCTCCTGGTGCAGCTTTGAGCCATTCCCACGCATCCTATCACTGGATACCAGGGAGAAGAGACCAGCACCTCCCTCTCCACATCCCCTCCTCAGGAAGCTGTGGAGAGCAATGAGGTCTTCCGTCAGCCTCCTCTTCTCCAAACCAGACAAACCCAAATTTTATATTAGCTCTGATCTAGTACACACACTGCAGAAGACCAAGAAACTGCACTTCATTAGGCTTTGGACATAACAAATGGCATCTCAGAAGAGCCTACTGCTGTCCATTAACTAATACGGGACCACCAGAGATGCAGAGGTTTACAATGTAAGAACTAAAGGATTTCTTCCAACTACACCAGCTATTAGAAGCAAGTTTAGTTAATACGAAACAAAACAAAAACCACAGAGAATCTATTCAGAAATCTAGAAATTACATCATGCAGAAAATACTAAATTACTCGTCACGTTTGATCTCTTTTGCTTGCTCTAAGTGACCTGACGAGTCAATGTGAAGTGCTGAATTATCCAGAATATGTACACTCCCTTCAGCATCTTCCAACATTATAAAATATTTCAGAGGCAGCTTTGTCATTGCTCATTCATTTTCTGAAAGACCATTGAAAAGATGGGCACCACAACGTAAGGATCTCAGGATTAGGAAAAATAATTAAAATAAAATTAAAAAAAAAACAACACAAAAAACCCACACAAACCCCCACAACAAACCCCACCCTTTATAAAAGAAACCCAACTGGTTTATGCAGTTTGCTCCACTTTAGATAAGTTTAGTCCTCAAGAAGGGTACTGACTGAGAGCAATAGTGCACGAAGCAGTTTTTTATTCACATTTCATTCACATAATTCCTCACATGCGTCCTTCCAGATGCAACATTACAAATGCCATGTGCAGTTCCCCAGCAGCTTAACCTTTTGCCCACGGTTCAAACCCACATATTGATTCTGTTATACAGTGCACTTTGCAAAAGAAAAAGTAAGAAGATCACCAGTGCGTTTTTCACAAAAATATGCTAATTATACCTTGAAGACAAATACTGGTCTGTGACCATAATAATGACTGTCTCTTATTGCAGACTGACAGATGTGCAAAGATGTGTAAGCTTTCATTGAGTCTTTTTCCATGGTTGATAAGATTATAGTGTTTTTTTCCATGCGGACTTTCTGGCATCAAATAGGGTAGCAGCCTTTCTTTCCGTTGGGGTATCCATATAGTTTCATTCTACTCTTCAGACACCTGCTTTCACACTAGCCATAAACGAAATTTGTTCAAATTGGCCCTGGAGCTCCAAATATATTGGCAATACACATTCAAACACAAGAGCGTGGCTGCAGGAACATGGTATCTGTAAGAAATCTGCCTGGAATTTGGAGTATTTGTGTCACATTCATCTTTACAACCAAAAAAAGCCATGCAAGAAAAGCACATTAAAGTTATTTTTGATTGTACTGCCAACGCCAGCTTTAACACAACAGCAACACGTTTTAGCCATTTTGCATTTAAGCGAGTTTCATGAAAACTCACTGACTGCATGTTATGCTTGCTAATCTCAAGCAAAAACAATTTTGACAAGGGTCTATGCTTATTCAGTGCTTCACTCCAAACATTTCTCATTTCACTAACTACCCTTTGCTCCCGATTAATGTAATAACTTCTACTCAATAGATCCATGGTGCTTGAATAACATTTTGTAGTTGTTAAGAAATGCCAAATTTTTAATTGATTAAACAAAAATAGGACAGCTTCTAAGTACTCAAAGGTTTCAAGACACTGGTATTACAGATGGTAAAACAGAAATACATGGGCATGTTCTAGCTATCACATTCTAATGACTTCCATTCGAACTGATGACAAATACTCCGCATTCAAGTTAAGCATCTGCACTCACTGCAGCTTAAGTTACTATCAGAGGTTTTTGAAGCAATACTTTGTATAAAAAGGTGTCTTGGGAAGCAAAATCCCATCGAATTTGCAGCAAACATGCAAAAATCACTGAATGCACATTCTAAACATAGCTTCACATCTGAAATCTCCCGTCAAGCATTCTGAGGTTGAAGCACAGAGAAATGAAAAAGGATGAGATGCTACTAAAATGCTTACAACATTCTCGAAAACTTGCTCCCTATCTCTTTCCACATTTGTAATCTATGGATTATAAAAACCAGTATTTTTAGAGTGTTACAAGTCACACACATGAAAATACAATAGTTCTTATTAAGTGAAAAACCAGTATCATGACTACATTATTTTCAGAGAGATAATAACTGAAAAGTGCCCAAGTTGTACTGTAAGAGCTTTTATTTCTAAACACAACTGTCAAGCTGCTTGTACCTTAATATCTCAATGCTCAGCCATTAAATGTTTAAACAGATTTTAAAAAGGAGGTGAGCAAACTTACTTTGTATTCTAACTCTGTTCTGTGAATCATGATTTTCCCTCCTTCATTTATTCAATAAGGCATCACACTGGCACACAATTACTTGCCTGCCTATGAACACTGAAACATCAGAAGCCAGTCACACTGTAGTTTTCTGCCCCACCAAAGGCAGAGGTATCAAAAAAAATATTACTATTATTTGTCTTCTGGGGGACACCAAAACCTAAGTGCCTGAAACTGAGATACTTTCTGCAGACAATGAGACATGCTCTGCGAACACCTTCCTTTTCTCTCTAACTTCCAGAGCATGACTGTCATCAGTAGAAAACCTTAGAGCACATGGGAGTTACATGCAAGGCAGTCTGCTGAACTCATTGTACAGTGGAACGCTACCATGTACCTTAAGTCTAATGTGCAATTTAGCACGTGTGATCTTGAATATCCTAATCACTCATACAGCTACTGAGCTGAACTTAAGGCGGGCCAAACAGCTGAAATCCAGTGAGAAAAATTATAACCTTACTGCTGCACTGTTTGGTATTACGGCCTTATTAAGCTTTAATACACTTAAACCATATATACACTTTGAGAAAATGTGGTGAACAGATGTGGTGAACAGATGTGTTTATTGCTAAAATGGATCTGTTGAACAGGACAGAGGAAAAATCAGCATTCTTATAAAACTATATTCACAGCAGAGACCAATTCAAGGAGAAAAAAAAAATATTAGTTGATCCCAGAAGTCCATGGGTACATAAAAATATTTTTTCCAGTGAAAAACCTAAAAAGGAATGCACAGTGTACCACACTCCACAAGCTCTTTGTTCTCTTCAGCAGACCCACAGCTGAAATGCACATGATAACCCTATGTGGAGAGCTTGAATTAGTTGCTCAATCATATGAAGAAAAGAGACAGACATAAAAAAAGAACAACAGTGATACGTATGTAGATAACAACAAAACAGAGGCAAAATCTGACTTCTGAGTCTTCTGGTCTTTACAGTACCCAGTTTATTGAAATCAGGTATACTGGAATCGTAACAAATAACTTTAATTCTAACTTACCTACTGAACTTTCTGTGAACACTGTTAAGGTCTGTCCTCCCACACTTTGCAAGAGAAATGGATGTTCTCTTGGTGCACTGACTGAAGCAGGTTTTCCTCCAATATCATTGATGCTTGCAAGCTCTTCATTCAAAGTAAATGACACCTAACAGTCACAATTACCACAGTGTTACTAAACAGACCCAATTACACAGCTTTAAGAGTTACGGGGAAACAAAAACAGAGAAAAAACAAGTAGTATAGCACATTTCCATTTCAAAAACATAAAGAGTGGGATAAGAGTCTTAATATATCGATCTCTTGTTAAAATACGGAATTCAAAGCTTTCATGTACTTAATAAAATTTTTTTTAAAAAAATTTGTAAATTACTTCCTCTTGAAGTCAGAGAACAATTTGATTTTACTCATTAAAATGTAAGGCATAATAGGTTTTCAGACACTGTTCAGTATGAGTGCTTTAAAATGTTTCACACAGCCAGCTGAGTTCCAGAAAAGGTGCTAATGTACCACGTCAATTGCTATTAGCCTGGGGACTCCTGAATTGCATGCAGCCCAGGACAGGCTCAAATACAGCTCCTTTGCTATGTTTACATTGTATGCCCAATACAGGAGCTGAGAAGGTACCAGGGGAAACTGGGTAACCAGAATCCCAAGCCACAGGACACAGCAAAAAACCTGAGAAGGGACTGTTCAGAGCTGCACTGCATACTTTTCCTGTATGTCGTGCTTTGCCTCATTCTGCCATGCAGCAACAGGGTTCCCGGGAAGCCACCCATTCTCATGGGGTTCCTCACCGCTTGGCTCTACACAGACTGCAAAACACACTTTGTGGCTCTCATCAGTATCAAGATTTTGGTGTGGGGCTCACAAAATTAGGGAGGTTGGCTCATATTTCAGCCTAGAAGAGTCCAATCAAACATCCAAACCTCCAGGAGAACTCTCTCCACTTATTCTAAAAGGAGTCTGGCCAGGTTATCACATGGCAAATGCAGCTTGCTTCCCTGCCATTTTTTCAGCCAGAGTTTCTTCCAATTCAGTGCTTTGAATTAATTCTAACTAATGCAGCTTTCCTTATCTATTGTAAAAGATACAGGAAGTTTCTATCATTCACTGAGGCTGCTAATAAATGCAGTTACCTTTGCATACAGAAAAACTTTCAAGTTCCTTTGTATTTAGTAGGACCAAATTCTGAATTTAAGACAAAATACTTCCTGAAATTGCAACCCTCCCTCTCCAACTTCTTTTGCTTTATCACCATCCTCCTTAGCTCTCAGACAGCCTTTTGGACCAACACATTTCAAAATGTTTAGAGAGAAGGTCGCTACTACCATTGCTGGTTACGGATGTGTAAACAAACTTGGGAAACAGAGACACTTGATGAAAGTCCCACCTACGGGCAGAGCTAGGGACAGAATTCTTTCCTCCGAACTGTGTGATACAATGTTTCATTACCGGCATAACAAAAAATACATTACATTAGAAACCAGCATGTTCTACACAATTTTTAGAATTTAAAATATAACACATTCACAGCCTTTGTATTTACTTACTTCTGTTCTTCCTTGATTTCTGCAAAAGAAAATATTTAATGTTTTAGTTTCCATAATCTAATTCCACAAGTTTAGCTTCCCTGATAAAAAGAAAATTAAAATTCTACTTTTGTTACTCATCTTCACTCCTGAGCTGCTCAATTTTTTTTTTATGCTGATGCCCAAGAATAAATGGGAAAAGTCAGCAGGTGAGAACAGAAGCAGCAAAATTGCACATAAGAAAGTTAAAGAACATTCTCCAGTCCGATGTGCATATTTCTTGGGTTTAAGAAATCAAACATCATGTAATGGGCTACAGCCACTCCCCAGCATAATTTCATATCATTTTTGTATTGATAATCACTATATAAGCAAGTACCTTTCAGGTTTCAGAGAAATATGCACAGTGTTTTCAAGAAACAGGATTACGTATTATAAGAGGTGCAGCATAACCTATTTTACTGCAGCAGGCAACTTCTAAGAATTGCAACCAATAAAGGTACAGGAAAGGCTTACTTGGCAATCCTTAGTTTTCCCACTTCACCTCTTCCTGCAGCTTTATTCCACTGTTGTGACAAGTATTTGGGGACCTAAAAAAAAAGAAGACAGATTTCAAGAAAGCCAGATTTTAAAATTCTATATAAATTGTGTATGTTTACATACTTCAAATGCGTTTACCCTGACCATAATACAGTATAATTAAATATAATGGACAATATATGCTATTAGGGAGAGCAAAGAGAACAATGTAGCACAAAAATAAGGCCAGTGCAGAGTCCCAGATTTCCCAAATGAGGGAAAAATCTTATAATACCCTTAATCTCAAATACTATTATCCAATCATTTAAGGCAAAAAGAGATCAGCATCATATTCTTAAACTAAGGAGTCCAAATAATTTTATCAATTAATACTATACTTCTAAATATTCATCAGAAATTCTCATCTCTCTACGAAGTAAAAAAAAAAGCCCTAGGAAACCCAACGATGAGAAGTTAGGCAATAACAACTCAGAGACCAAAAGATGGTGTGAAGGGAAGGCTTAGAGTTTGGGAACCTCAGACATACTCAGCAGCAAAATGTAGCCCTACTCCCACCAGATGTCCGCTTTTTCAACAGCAGATCTGCCTCCCATCGCTCTTTCCCACCCCTCCACTCTACCGAGAAAGGTCTTTGCACAGCTGGTCGGCATATGGAAAGAACAAACTGATCTGTCTGGGAGGTGTGGGGGACTTCTACGTTTTAGCTGTGCTGATTTACATTTAGCAGGTGGAACAACCAAACCAGGTTCCTAACCCATTTCCCCAAACAAATGCACAAAGCAAATGTCAGTGCAGGGACAGGAACAAGCAACCCTGCTTAAACTGATACAGCCAAGGAATGCAAGCTGCTCCAGTGATGCTGACTCACCTACACACACATTCCTCCAGTTACAAAGGTTTTGGTATCCACAACCTCAGGTGGCCTGGGCTTATGATGGACAGTAAAGGCGCCTACATAACCAACCAATAAGCTGGAAGCTGGCTTTCCAAGCAGAGCCGTTTTTCCTCTTTTCTCATCAATGTAGCTGAAATCACAGCCTACCTCTCCACTCTCTGGCCAAAAAAGTACCAGCTATCTACTGCCAGGTAAACTAGACCCCAACAGCTGGCATTTCCATGGCCAGCCTCAATGCCTTGCTGCTGCTGCTGTGCTGCACACCCATGCTCTTCAGGCTCCCAGAGGCATCCCAGATGTGATGACGCACGCATACTTGTGCACAGCAGCAACCTCTTTTTTCTGGAGAGAGTAATGCTAGGAGAAGGTGTCCAGTTCTCAGCAGTTACCCCAGTCCTTCCTAAAGACCAGGCAAGCTTAAAGACGATGAACAACATTTGCTCTGTGAAACCAAAAGGTTAAGTGTTTATTTAAATATCGCTGATGAACACCTATAAATCTGAGCACTCGTATGAGGACACAGTTTCCCAGGACTTCAAATGGTGGACTGTGCTGGTGGCTGCCACTGTCCTGCCTCAGAGAGGAACTCCCAGCTCAGCCTGTGTGTTCAGCCCCGGTGAGGCACTTCAAGCTTCTCAGTTTAGCCCCAAGGGAATGAGGAATTTCTCTACCTTCTGTGCTCCACTGCGTGACATCAGTTCTAGCCATGTCTACCTTCCCTTGCAAGAAAGCTCAATTGGTTATACGAGCAGATTGCAATGTTTTGCAGATCACATAGATTCGCAGATCACAGTTTTTTTCCCCCACCATTCAGCAATTTCAAATGCCTTTTCCATGATGGCTTTTTATACAGGCTGAACATGACACATTAGTACAACAAATGTGAGACTGGAGCAATTTCCCCCCTACACACAAGCTATTAGACGTAGAAATACTGTGCCACATCAAGAGATGGAATACAGACCTGAGGCAATAAGGACAATCTCACATCTGACTATTTAAAACTAAGTGTAAGATGTTCAAGTGGATATGGAAATTACAGATTTTTTCCAAAAAGGAAAGCAGTCTAACAGAAGCTACTAATTCCCAGAAACCCGTTTCTATCTAAAAAGGATGTAGCAGCCACTGAGAGAACATCTTCTCAAAGACCTACAGTAGTCTCAGTGTCTAGCAAAACAGTGGCTTGTTAAAGGGAAAATCATTTAGTGTTCCACACCATGAACTAAAGTATTCTGGTACCAAAATTTTATATCTTCATATGCTCATGACACATCAGGACAAATCTACATTCTTTACTTTTGCAGCAATGTTCTTTACTGGTACAGCAAAGTTTATTCTAGCTCACACAGTCCACAGCTACTGAAAACATCTGTGCCCGCATAGAAAAATGGTGTGAGACACAGACAGTGAGACAGGGAAGTGTACTAAGCTCTGCCTGTGGCATTTTCTGTTTCAAGAAGCAAAGAGGCACTTTGTAGTCTGATCTTTGTCTTGCCTAGCATAAAACTAAGCCAAGTTTCACTGCACAGCTGAGGGGGCGAAGAGCCTGTTCCAGGAACTTGCTGACAAACAGCAACTTGCTAACTTCCTAAAGCTCAAATGAACTTAACACTAACCTTGCATTTACCTGTTCTTCAAAAAAACCCCAGAAAACACCTCAGTACTGGAGCTTAACACTTCCCTTTAGTCTCACAGTACCCCCATGAAGTACTGTGGAATAGCTAGAAAATCCAGATGTCCTCCAACTGCTTAGCCAAACTACATGTCAGTCCAGGTTTCCATAAAGTCCTAACACTGGGTCAAAAACGCCACAAATGCACAACGGAAAGCCGTGAATTTGTACAGTGTACTGATACATATTTTTTCCACAGTTTTAAAGTGGTAATTTTCTACAGCGGATTTCATGCCAAATCAGATATCATTTTCTTTCTAAAGCCAAGATAAATGCTATGACATGTGCCCCAGCTGACTTGATAGAAATATTATTATGTGCTCACACCTAATCTGTATCTAATTTATATTGTCAGGTAATAAGGTAGACCCACATTCAGTATGAGTGGACAGGGAGTGAAGGACTCTCATACTGTTGAAATCACTGATTTGCCATATAATATAATCAGACAGGGAATTTATTCAGATTAAGAGGTTGCAGATCAATCACACTTCTTTCAGCTCCATGGGAAATAGTCTCAAAGAGTGCAATTAATCATCTTTCTGCTGGCCTGTCTGCAGTCAAGGGCTATGCAGAGGAAGAAAAAAGGGTTATAAAGGACTGTGATCAAAGGATTACTTCTAGCTATACACTGTTACTTCAGTTAAAACCAGATGGTACTCTCAAAACCATGTGCTAAACTTTGTAGCTCTATGCGAACAGCGTAAATAATCACAGAAAAGATTAAATAAAGTCTTACACACGGTAGACATCTTAATTTGCCACTTAAATCTTTGAACTTCAGCATAATAGAAGTTTAACTTACAGAGAACAGATAGTTTTCAAATTCTTAACACTCTTTGAAAGAATGTACAGAAAACAAGAGCCACCTGCTTATACACAGCAGAAAGAATTTTCAAAAATCCCACAGCAGGATTTTGAAAAACATACACCGACAGAAAGACTGGCTTGTGGACAGGATCCCTGCCATACTGAAAGGCTACTGACCGTTTTCAAGACAAGTGGCCTTCATTCTGCGATTTGTAGGTAAGAACACTCTTCTCTCCAAAAAACATACAATTTATTCATGAGAATAAATCTGACGTATTAAGCAGCATCACTTCAGACTGCTGTTTTCTTCCTGATACTCACATCACACAAACACGCAGGCTCCAGTACATGAGGCACCCTGCAGGTAGTGTACAACAGGAGGGCCCCTGCTCCATGCATCTTTCACAGCTTCCTATCTGCCTTTAGAACAAAACAGACAAACAGCCCCTATCTGTAATAAACTACTTCCAATTTTCTGTATTAAATTAAATTAGCTCTTTCTCTATAGAGCAATCTGTATGCAGTAGGTACATCAGAAATGGAGTAAGGTGAATGTCAGGTTCTATGTTTTTATTTTTCTTTGGACATACAAAAAAGTAATTAAATAAAGATACCATCTTTCTAAATATAGATCAATGTTGCAGATTAAATTAAAAAAACCAAACCATCACACAGGGAACAAGAAATTAACAATTCTAATGACTAACACTGAATGGGCTTCACTTTACCACAAGTATATAACCAACAGTTCTACTTCCCTATCTTAGCTTTCACTGAAAACACAGAAAAAATTATTCCAGTTGTTTTCTGGGTTTGTACTAAAGCGCCTCACTCGATTTCTGGTACCTCCTGTTACCGCTCATGCTTCTAAAGTACTCATCGCAACATTTTTTTATTGCCTGTTAAGTAGTCTCTCTGGAATACTTCCTGTGCTAGCATAATACATGCTAAAAGGAAATTAAATAAGCCAGTTTTTTTATTCCAGGAGAGCTGATTGCTCTCTCTCTCAAAGGAAGGATAAATTCAGCCTCGTTAGCCTAGCTAGTGAAGATAAAAAGTACAGGTGCTACTACACATTGTCATGCCTCTGAGTGTGTTGAAGGTCCTAGTAACAAGGGTGGTGTTCCCAAGTTCGGGTCCGAAGGAATTCAAAGGATAAAATCCTGCGCATCCCTTTCTATGGTCTACCAACGTTAGCAACTTCATAGTTTTTTAAACTTTTATTATACAAGAAGACAGCCAAATTATAAATTCAGACCACATGCATGAAGGATTACATTGCTTGGAAGGGCAATATTTAAGTGTTCCTCTCAGTCTAGTTTTCTCGTTAAACCAGGCAGCATCCTGTGCTCAACAGAGTGGTATCAACTAGAAGCACAGATGTGCCTGAAAATTCCTGGCTTGCTTCAGGAACCACCAAACTGTATCAGACTAAAGGACATGTAAGTTCAGTGTCCTGTCTCCAAATGCCGCCAACATCTACTTACGGAAGAGCAGAGGAACATAAGAAGAAAAGGTATTTCCCCAGCATGCTATTCTAATCACTGTGATCTTTGATGCAGCAGCCTTGAGGTAAGGGAGCATATTCATTTTTAATATCTCAGTCTGATTTTCTTGCCTGAATTTGTCTAATGGCTTTTTGAGCTTCTGTGAAGTTTTGACATTCACCATTT